TCACTTCTTTCCAGGTTGAAAAGGAGCCATTGTTGAGTACCCTTTGAGACTGAAATATCTGACAAAAACCAATTGCAGAACATTTCAACCTTCCTGGATATTTGTTGTTATAGAATCATAGAATCATAAGGGTTAGGGTTAGGGAATCATGGGAACTGTATTTTATTGTGGCACCATGTCCCAGAAAAAAAACAATTCCCATGATTCCCTAGCACTAACCCTAACCCTTAAAGTGGACTCAATTTGCACTATTTCTGGCAGTCTGCAAAGGCCCTTAGTTGTCTTCACTTTCCTGTGCATATTCACACCTATTTACTCTCCCTCTGCCAAAAATGTGCAGCCTTGTGAACAAAGATGAAATGGATAGACAGCCACACATCTGTCCATTTCCTCATCAATACTCACGAATCCTTTTTCTGTGTAATTTCAGAACTCTCCCACCCTGCACAAAAAGTATGAATTCCTCCAAATTGCACATGGAGGGATCACATTCTAATAGAATATTTAAATTATATAGACAAACTCTTAGACATATAGTAAAGGATTTACAGGTTGCAATTCTTGAACAAAGGAAGACTAGACAGAGGAACAGCTGAATTGAATCATATTCACAAATACCAACCCAGTAGCTGAGGTATGAACAAAGGCAATGGCTTCATATGACACACTACATATATTAAGACAAGAATCCTACGTACTGCACATCTATCCAAAGGAATCTTCTTAGAGACAGTTTTGAACCCAGGGAGACTGAGGGGCTAAACAGAAGGCCCCTAAGGAGCAGCACCCCACTGCCCCTTTCCTTGCCAGATAGGGGCCATGGAAACTGCACGCCATGGCCCTGATCAAGCCCTTTGCCGCTCTAAAAAGAGCTGGCAAATGCTGTTCCTTTTTGGAGCAGCAAAAAGCCACCCTTGCCATCACCACGGCAGCTTTTCCAAGCTCTATATAAAAGTCTGCATCTAGCATCTGTTCCAAGCTCTATATAAAAGACACTTTTTCAAGCTCCCTCTAAAACACCCCTCCTTGCCCACTGAGATCTAGAGATTGCTGGGTATTTTTGAGGAGGTGAAAGTTTCTGTTAGACACTCCTGCCCAAAAAATCTTTTCCATACCCTCCAAGATTTCACAGAGGAAAACCAGGGCATGTGTGGCCAAGCAACAGCGGAATGTGAATAAGATGGCAAATGTTATTGATTAGGAAGAAAGCTAAGAAAAACTGCAGCAGTTTGCTTTTACCCCAACTTACTGCGAAGGGCAGGTTTCCACCCTCTCCTTTCCTCTTCCCCTGGTGAATTGAATGATTGCTACCTTTGCACAAACTTTCAGTTTGCAGCACTTGAAGCAAGCTGAGGATGAAGGGGGAAATGGGAGGAGGAGAGAGAAACTGGGACATTTTAAAAGCAGCTGAAAAAGTGGAATGACTAGAAATCAATCAGGACTGTCTCTGACAATTCAGGACAGGTGAAAAGTATGCTTTTCTGAAATTTCTCTGTTTTGGGTTTTGTTTTGTTTTTAATTCTGGCTATCAACTGGGAAATTCTGGGAAAACAACAATCCTGATGGCCAGAGAACAATACCCATCCACCATCCACCTCTGCAGCTAACTGAATGGTTTGCAGAAAAGAATGAGCATGGCTCTTCCAATTCTGGAGTCTTCACAGCAAATATCCTAGAGCCACATGTGGCCATAGGGTCTTACATTGTGCATCCTGGATATGCATTTGTATTGAAAAGCTCATTGAAGCACTTTAGTGGTGATGAGAGGAGAATTTTTGCTATAATCTCACTATTATAGCCCAGAGAAACAAATTAAAATAATTTTCATTGGCTTTACTAGCCATGTGAGTATAGTTCTTTTTCTATCCAATGTATACTTAGAAAGCTTTGGGTACATATTATATGCAACAGTTATCTATCAATCAGTGGGCCTGTGTTCACCTATGAGAACTTTAGACAGTACTGCATTTTTTTTCTGGGATTGCAAAATACTAGAAACTCAACAGCACAAATACACAATTTCAACATTATCCAAAACAATGCTGAAAAAGTAGGAAGTGAAATAAAAAGTAGATTCTGATCCTCTCCCTATTTTAGATCAAAGGCTGTCAAAATCAGGATGGGTGTATATTGGAGGGCTCTATATAACAGTCACAAGGGAACACAAGACAGAGGGTGCTATTGCAATCAGGTTTTGCTTGTGAGTTTCCCATAGGTGACTGGTTGACCACTGCAGGAAGAGCATGTAAGATAAATTTTCAAGGTGAAGTGTGAAACATGTTTAAAGTTGTGTAATTACAGCCATTTATGCTGCAGCAATAAACCACATTCCAAGATTAAATTGTAGTCCTGCTTATTGTAATAGCTTTACAGCCTCATTTATCTGAATAACTAAATCATATTCTCCAACATTTTGCAGATGAAGATAGGAAGTAACATACTTGTAATGCTCCAGTGTGAGAGAGAGAAAATTGCCTGTGTATGAACAAAAAATTGAGGATTCTCAACAGATATGTTGCTATTGGGCTGTCATTTGTGAGTTTTGCATCTAAAATTTACCACTCCATCACGGCCCGTACTTCTTCTGAATGTAGTGAGGTACATATCAAGCATTAAGCTTGAAAAGACCATAGACCAAAGAACATTTACACAAACAGTTCAGTCTTGCCTTTAAGTTCTGATTACAATAAGTCTCATTGGGTCTACTCTCAGTGGGTCTACTCTCACCATGACTTTAAAAACAATACCTCATTACATTGTTATAGCACTTTGATTCCTCTTTTAGTGCTATGACTCTCTCCTGTGGAATCCTGGGATTTGCAGTTGAGGGAGAGCATGTAGAATTCTCGGTCAGAGAGCTCTTCAGCCTCACAAACAAACCTCCTACAAAGCCCAGAATGCCACAGGAGGCAGCCAGAGCAGTAAAAGTGGAATAATAGCACTGTAGTGCAGTATTCTTTTTAGTCTGTACTGAAAATATGTCCTATGTGTGTAACGGCACGCAGGGTCAGGACGGTGGTGGGGTGGGATTGGGGCAGCCGGCGTGTGGCTGCTTTGCCCCAACTGAACCCCCAGGCTGGGGGTTCTGCAGAGGCCCCAACTCAGCTACTTATTTGAAAACTACTTTTCATGGAGATTCATCCTTTTTATTTGCATACAGAAATCAGCAAGTGGGACCTGAAAAAAAAACATTGCAATATGGATAACTTCCATTTAGGATTCTACCCAACCATGCCTTCTTTCAGGATTCTTTGTTTCGTTCCTCCATTGCTTCCTTGCCTTTCTGTCCACACAGTAACATTCTGAATTAACTGAGCATGTTCAATCTTCATTCACTTCATTCAGTTTGTGAAGTCATAGGCTGTCATGGCCGGCATGCATAGTTTTTTGTGGGTTGTTCGGGCTGTGTGGCCATGTTCTAGAAGAAGCATG